ATCTGTCCGACCGCGTAATTCGCCGACGAGTCGGCGATAAGATGAGACGACCAAATGATGAAGACGAGGAACTTCTTGGCGGTCCGATTCCGATGCGAGGCGAAGAAGATGAGGATCGTTTGGAGGGTGAGACTGAACATGACGATGACCCTCAGGTTCCATGTGTCCCACAGGTCTGAGATATATGCTTCAAAAGTTTGAGTATTTTGAATGCTTACTCATTCACTGTCTGAGCAATCCTCATAGATGGACTCCCTGCAGAGTACAAGCTCCTCTCGGACAGTCCTCCACGTTTCCAGGTATTTTCTCTTCCCTTTCCTTTTTGTTCTGACTTTTACAAAGTATTTTGATTGATCATTTTTTTTTAAAATTAAAATCTTCTGAATATAAGGAAGAACAATAGTGTCTGGTGGCTCTGATAAGCAAATAACACACTCTTTTTCGGTTCGATTTTGGGTATAAATGAGTCAATTTAGAATTTCTTTCATTTAATCGGTTCATTGCACCGATTTATTCCATACCAAATCATTTAACCAATTTTGTACACGTGTCAATTAATTCTGATGTGTAATCCGACGTGGCGAAGCTAAAAAACCTCACATACGCCACGTTTGCACTTTTGAATGACACATCAGCACATTTTGTCTAATTTGTTAATCGACAAAGAGTTCATGTATTTTTTTGTTTCATTAAAAAAGTTTGGTGTTTATTTGACCAAAAAAAAGGTTCAGTGTTTGTTTTGTCAAAATTGAAAAGTCCAGTGTTTTTTTTGGGATTATCCCTTTTTTAAAACTGGAAAACCAAATCCGAACCCACGGCGAACGGTGTCTCCTTAAAGAAATTATTCCCCGCGCGGTACCTACGGTTAATGGAATATATCCTTCCAGGATAGGACGGACGTACCTCACCGGAACAGTGGTACTTCAAACTCCGGCGCCTTGCCGAATTCAAAGCTCGGCTTGAATCACAAAGAGAAAAAGATGTTTCTTTTGTATAAAGCTTTGTTTTGTGTTTTGCTTGATCTTGTTATGTCTAAAACATGAAAACAATCCTCCTATTTATAGGATTGAAAAACTTGTAACATTTTAAAAAAGCCATAAATTTATGTAAGTTTTGTAAATAAATTGGAGAGTAACTTATACAAAAAATAAATGGAAAAAAACCTCCATTCATTTAATTTATAAAAACTCCAACAATCCCCCATATGAATGGAGAATTTTAGAAAACTCTTTAAAACCATGCAATCTTTGTGATTCAACTATGAAGAATTAATCGCATCTGGATAAGTAGGTTTCCCTTTGAACTTTTCATAGTGGATTTAAATCGGATATACTCACCAATCGGTAGATGCGATATCTTTGAATCGTCGGTTTTTTATGTATACCAAGACAATCTAAACCACACAATTAATTCTTAACCGTCTTTGGTTCTCACTGTTGTGTTCGTTTCAGCCATGAACACCTGCCTGGTTTCATGAAAGCGTAGAGAACTGGCCAACCATTATTCTCCTTGAAGCGGCCCACACTTCACTTTCACATAGGTGGTTTCCTAAGCGTGTCATCTCTGAAGATACACTATTTGATCATGTCAAATTTAGGAACCATTAAAAATTTCTTAGCTTTTAAGTCTTCTAACTTAAAGCCGTATAATTTACCCTTTTCCATAGAACATTGTCTCATCATGAGAATGAGTTGGGTTATATTTGACAATGTTGAACTGTTAGTTACGACTTTGTATTCTCTTTGAACCTAGTTCTTGGGATCTCTAGTCTACTAGGTAGAGTTACCACCGTACTAGCTTGTCCTTGGCCATAAACTCATTCCCTTGGACGATTTTTCAAATAAATCTCTACAAAGACCTTTTGTAAGTGGATCAGCTACATTATCCTTTGACTTCACGTAGTCAACAGTGATAATACCACTTGAGATTAGTTGTCTAACGGTATTATGTCTACGTCTAATGTGACGAGACTTTCCGTTGTACATCACACTTCCTGCCCTTCCTATTGCAGCGATATTATCGCAGTGTATGCATATAGGTGTCAATGGTTTGTGCCAATACGGAATATCTTCCAAGAAATTCCTAAGCCATTCAGCTTCTTCACCAGCTTTATCCAAAGCTATGAATTCACTTTCCATGGTAGAGCGAGCGATACATGTCTGTTTTGATTATTTCCACGACACAGCACCTCCTCCAATCGTGAAGACATATCCACTCGTGGACTTTATTTCACTTGACCCAATAATCCAATTTGCATCACAATATTCTTCAAGCACAGCTGGATATTTGGAGTAATGTAATACGTAATTTTGAGTATGTTTTAAATACCCCAAAACACGTTACATTGCCATCCAATGACTAGGATCTGGATTACTTGTATACCGACTGAGTTTACTTATTGCACAAGCAATATCTGGTCGAGTACAGTTTGCGATATACATCAAGCTTCCTAGAACTCTTGCATAGTCCAATTGAGACTCACTGTGACCTTTGTTCTTTGCAAGAGCAAGGTTCACATCAATTGGAGTTCTTGCGACTTTGAAGTCCAAGTATTTAAACTTCTCAAGTACTTTCTCAATGTAATGAGATTGAGATAACGCAAGACCTTCAGGAGTTTGAATGATTTTAATTCCAAGAATTAAATCAGCAACTCCTAAATCTTTCATGTCAAATCTTGTGGATAGCATGCGCTTTGTATCGTTTATAGTTGAAATGTCATTACCCATTATCAACATATCATCCACATATAGACATACAATGACAATTCGATTAGAAGTGTTCTTAATGTAGATACATTTATCACTCTCATTAATCTTGAACCCGTTTGTCAACATTATATTGTCAAACTTAGCATGCCATTGCTTTGGTGCTTGTTTAAGTCCATACAAAGACTTCACAAGTCGACACACCTTACCTTCTTTTCCCAGAACTACAAACCCTTCAGGTTGTTCCATATAGATTTCTTCCTCTAAATCTCCATTTAGGAAGGCAGTTTTAACGTCCATTTGATGGATTTGCAATTCATAGACGGCAGCCAAAGCAATTAACACCCGAATGGATGTAATTCTCGAGACTGGCGAATATGTATCAAAATAGTCAAGACTTTCTCGTTGTCGAAAACCTTTCACAACTAGTCTTGCCTTGTACTCGTCAATAGTACCATCATCTTTCAATTTTCTTTTGAAAATCCATTTGGAACCTAACGGTTTGTTCCCTGGAGGAAGATCAACCAACTCGCACGTATGGTTGCTTAGTATGGATTCAATTTCACTATTGACAGCCTCTTTCCAGTATTGAACTTCAGAAGAAGTCACAGCTTCCTTATATGTTTAAGGCTCATTTTCCAACATAAATGTTAGAAAGTTTGGACCAAATGATGTAGCAGTCCTTTGACGCGTACTACGTCTAGGTTCTATCTCATTTTGTGCATCCTCTGTATTCACTTCCCGATTTCGCTTGGTTCCTTTATTAATTGATTCACATTCTCTTTTGTACGGGAAGATCGCTTCAAAAAATTCAGCATTATCTGATTCAATCACCGTATTCCTTTGAATATCGGAGATTTCAGATTTGTAAACCAAAAATTACAAAGTTCACGCTTTTATATGATTTTTTTTAAAGTTCGTGATTTTTTGGGCTATTATCCCCAAGTTATATGAGTTCAATCACTTGCCCGTACCATAACAAAATCAAATATATTTCTACAATTATATTTTGGATATGCTATGTGATGATGGTATCATGGTAACATGTGTTTTCCGTTGTTAGGCATTCTGGTTCAGATTTTGATGAGTTTGGCTTTAGACTATCACTAACATCCAAATTTCGTCAACAGAGAAATTATGAACATATTCAAACCCAAAACCGATTTAAACCGAACTGAACCCGAACTTGAAATAATTTGGATTTTGGTACGAATCGAAACAGACGAAAACGGATCAAATATGAACTATCCAAGCAATACTGGAAACCAATCCCAAACTGGTCGCAATAAAGTTCGTATTTTTACCACTTGATGTTAAATTTAGCTTTTGAAATTTACATTTAAAAAAAAACCCACATTGAAGAATATAAAGAAAAATATAGAAAAGAACATAGATAAAAGAAAAAGGGAAAAGATAATGGAAGCAAATACATACTTTTTCCACGTGATAAATCAGTTTAGTGATTGGAAACCTCGACTTTCAGTGTAAAAAAAAAATCTCGACTTTCAGGTTTGGGTTCGGGGTCGCCGCGTCGACGGGGAAAACCCATACCAATAAGCATCGACCGCGGAGCTCAACTAGGGTTAAGATTCGCTCTTGCCTTCCAACGTTTCGTCTCCAACCTCAACGCTCGCTCCTCGGATACATCTCTTTCACCTATCTATTTCCTCGTCTCGCCCTCATCTACCTCTTGGTTCGCCTCTCTTTAGCATCGTGGCCTTACGCCCTCGCTCTTGTCAGTCCATTAAACCGTGGGTGCCCGAGCATGTGGAGCATCCAGCACATATTTGGACAACTCATACCCAACGTTATGCTCCGAAGGAGCCCGAAAAGCTCGGGTTCCACCCTACCCAAGAAACCAAACTGACATGTAGTATCACAGTTCAGACAAATCAGAGACTATTAAGTCATTGAGGATATCGACATCAATAACCACATCAATAACTACCGGACATGCAAGTTAATATGTCAAAGCCGAACAAAGTCTTCGATCTTCAAATCACCACAACGCTTGGAGATGTTCCCCCCCAATCAGATGTTCTCGGTCTAAAAAATGCTCGTTTCGAAAACATCGTGGTTCATGCCAGGAAAGTAGTAGCCTTACCGAAGAGGATGGCCTTTTCGGGAAGGATTTCGAGGTTACCATGGCTTACAAGGCCGCCAAAGATTACTGTTTGGCGGAGATGATACCCGAGGACAGTTTATCGATCAGAGATATCGAAAAAGCTTACCAGATTCCATGGAAACTTCAAAATAGATGACCCACACAAGAAATCTCACAGCCACATTTGCAGGAGAGGTAAAGATATATGCTTTGAACATGCAATGCAGCTACAGAAACAGAAGTTCATGTTTTGGCATAAGAAATTTCTATTACCGTACCCACTTATTGCTGACAGTATATCTTATATTTATTTGTAAAGTTGGATGAGCCCATCTCAAGAAACATCCAGTGAAATGCATAATTTACCTTTCAACAGTTTTAACTGAAAAACATGTATGAGGTGCAAGGAAAATCTCAAATAGACTAAGACTCGACGGATGACGTGGCATCATCTTTGTGCTTAATCATACCAGATTCGACGAGAATTGGAATCTCAGCGGCAAGCCATGGTGCGAGTCCCAAACAAAGAGCGTGTGCTATTCCAAATCGAGGACTGCAAAAGAGGATTTACTTATCAGAACCGAGAATACAAACAACTGCTAATACTTGGGAAGAAAATGCATGTAAGAGTGATGGATCAAACGTTGTCACTCGAACCTCTGCCTTAAACAACTTAATCCCGATTTGTTCTTTGTACAACCACCTTAGTACCCAAGTTTACACTCAGTAATTTCAGTTTGTAGATCATGAAATTCCACAGAAAATGTGGCACAGAGTTTCATATTCTCATCATTTACCTGAATAACCACAGATTCCTCACAATTCACATTTCATCTTAACCGAATCAACCATGGTTCTTAAATGTTACATTGGTTCCCCCTTACAGTAACACTGCCATAACAGATTACAGCTGACACAGAGCAAATTCACCAGCAAAACCATCTGACAATTCGACGAATCTGATCCATGAATGCTAATTGCTTCTATTCAATGGGAATGCAACAGATATATCATAAGGAAGAAGACATTGAGAATTACCAGTTTTTGGCCCACAGAGGCTTGAAATGCACAGTCAAGCAAATCTTCCCGCCTCTATACATCTACATGCAAACAAAAAACACAAACCAATTAGCCAAAAACTAATTCACCAACAAAACCAAATCACAAAATCATAATCTCTTCCGAAAAAAAAAAGGAAGCACAAACCGATCGAAGAACCCAATCTTACCTTCTGGGTCTTGCCGTCAATCTCCGGCAATTCAAGCTCCGGAGCAGTCGCCGGATAAGTCACCGGAATATCGAACTGGAGATCGAATTCGTACTTGAGGAGGTTGTGGACGTACCAACACTTGCCCGTCCAACGAGTCCCCTCTGGATTCGCGGCGGAGATGCGGAACCAGTCGTTGTCGTTGGACTTGTTCATCTGCGTGTACGCGATCAGAGATTTGTACTCCTCCTTCAGCCTCTGCGTCCATGCCTGTCCATCTCTAGGACCCGCCTTCGTCGTCAGGAGCGGGATCTGCGTCAGCGTCGACTTCGTGCTCGGATCCCATCCCTCCATCTTCGCCGCGAAATGTTGCACCTTTCCCCCCTCCCGATCTGAATTACCAGAAACCCTAGGAGCTGATTGATCAGAATCCGGACCCGATGTTGACGGTAAAAATTTTAAATTTGCCAGTGTTAGATTAAATATTGACCAATGTTGACGGTAAACTCCGTTACTTGACATCTTACACGTTATTTTAGTGCCACATAAGCAGTCGAAATTTAACACGTGACTTATCACGTGGTACAAGATCGCAGCTTATCTTTACCCCGTTTTTGATCCGTAAATTTTCGGGTCGGGTTAGACAAACATGCCTTAATTTCTTAAGCCCAAACCCATAAATTTTACCGGCAGATTCGTACGATCAAATCTGGAGTTTTTTTAGACACCCTGTTTTTTCTGAGAGTATTTGTCGGAACGAAGAAAAAATTAATTGGTCGAGCTCTTGAGTTAATTGTAAACCTAGATTTGACGAAACGAAGAAGAGAATTAAACGTGTAACTTTTTCTTTCATTTTTTACAGTCTAAATCTTTTACGATGACCAAAAGTAACTTTAAAGGATATTTGGGTAGTATTGGGGAAAAAAAAAGTTCAACCTATATACATTGTTTTGGCACATTTTGTCACGACCCTCTTGTTTTTATTGGCATATAACAAATGGTTATTGATATTAATTTTAAAAAATTTTACAGGACCGCTTTGATTCAGATTCGCACATGCATCTTTAGTATATATACACATTGCAAGTTTTTTGTACAATACTAGGAGCATAATAATAACCTTAATACTTGAGAACGTGCAGTGATCCTTCAAGACCTGCCTTGCGAGGTCGAACGCCCCGCTGTTCTTGTAGATCAGATGCAGATTGTGTGCCGCTTCTCTGCGGAGGTCGCAGTTGACAAGCTTACGCTCTTCGGCGACATTCGGATCCTCGTTCGGGAGTTTTGGTGTTGGGTATTCCTTCTCGTGGATTTCGAGCACCTTCTCGTAGTACGGCGCTGCCAGAGTTACTAACCCTACGTGGTGATACGCACGAGCTATGTTATACAACGCCTCCTGCATAAAATGCATTTCGTTATGCATAAACCGAACCAATCGAAACCGAATTCGATACAAAAATTTAACGGTTATGATTTTTGTAAATGCTAAAAAACAAATCTTTGAAAAATGAGTATTTTTATCACTAACAAATGAGACCAAACGGATCTAATATAGAAACCATATCGATATAGATTTCTATTTTCTTATACCGAAAAGTTCAGACCCGAATCGAAAACCGAAAATTTCTGTGGAACATGAGCATTTTTGTCAGAGAAAACTAAACCTGAACCGAAAACGAACAGAATCTAATATAAGAACCAAAAAAATATAGGCTTTTGAAAACCGAGCCGATAACCGAGATGTGCCCACAGCTAACGAAAACACCATGAATTTCACAAGTGAGATCTAAAGACTACCTGACTGCTGTTGCAAATCCTGAGATTATTGTAGAGAAATGCGAACCCTTGAGCGAGGCACTGATACTTGTTCTGGAGTCTAAACCCAAGCGCTAAATTGATCAAGGAAGTCCCTGAAAGACAGTGGAAAAGAGAGGATGATGAACTTTTCTGCATGTTTTCTGGTAATGAATAACGAGAAAAGAAAAGAAATAAACTTACCGACACATAGGTTAATCAAAGGGTTCTCGGGCAACAATTTATATGCTTCGAGGTATTCTCTGGCGGCATCTTGATGTCGGCTGGTAACAATAAAGTGGTGACCCGCAATGAGAATTGGCGGCACACAGTCTCTGTGCTTGGATCGCAAGTGATGCATGAACTTAGCTTCCGTGGAAATTCGTTTACCGAGTCTGTGGATTTCCAACCGTAATGAGATATTTGTCAGTCTTTTCACGCCACCCACAAAAACCCGTTTCATAACTTTTAATCTCAAGATTTTCCGAGTAAATCTGCCTTGTATTACCTTGAAATCACTCTGAAGTAGCAGTTCCAAGCATCCAAACGATGTGGATGCTGCTGAATAACAGATCTCACACAGTCAAACCACTTCTTTGGGTCCAAAGTGTCGCATGATATTTCTGTTAACCCCAAAAAAAAAAACCCTAATCTTTCAGTATGCAAAAGCAAAAGCCTCTACACGACAATTATCAGTGTATAGTGAGCAAATTAAAGAACTATAAAGGCTTTGCATGGGGAACATAGAACTACACGATGATAAATATCCAGATCTTCAGAAGATATAAACTGAGGGTTTGAGTTAAGAAGTTACGAGCTCCAAGCGACTGAAGCTCCTTCTTCTTGTCAACCGGCAGCATTTTTGCATCCAATCTCCGAGCCAAATTAACTATCTCAAGAGCTTTCCAGTACTTCTGCAACAATGTCAATGCCTTGCACAACTGCAACATACAACTTAGGGTTTCATAACCAAACATAAACAACATGATTCTGCCCTTTGAACAAGGAAATTTGAAAGCAAGAAAAGCTTACTGGACAAGCAATTCTACACATTCGATAAAATAATACAGAAGGGCCTGAGAAATTACATCCACGAGGAGGTGGTGATATTCATCATCCCTTATAGCTTCTTCCTGGAAACAAAAGTATCCATCATAACTCGGTCAATATAAGAGACCACAAGAAATTTAGAGGAATACAGAAACAGAGAAAACAAGAGGTAAGCGAAGCAAAGGAACGGAGTAACAATAGGCAGAGAAGAATAATCTACGATGAATATTACTTACTTCTTACCCTCACTGCCAGGCACGACTAACCCAATGTAAAAACAAAACCTTAACCTGGTGTAAGATCTACGTATGCGTGGTAGTGGTAGACTGACAAAACTAGTAAACTTGAACAGTGTACATCAATGATTACCTCAGATTCACCAGAGTTGTCTTCTTTCTGAGCTGTAGTAGCAACCTTTTCTCTAATTCTCTTTGCTTCATTTAAGGTTGCCCTGATTTTGCGCATTTTTTTCAGTCCACAACCCCTCAACCTTGTTCAACATGTTTTCAAGACAAAAATTACTGTGTGGTTTTAGGTATTCTTCTTAAAGAGAGGAGATACCCACCAGACATATGACAAGATAAGTGGAATGTGTGTGTATGTGTGTATTATACTCACAGGACAGTTGGATCATCTCTTTGAAGTCGGCGCCTTCTGTTTCGTTCTTGTTTCGCTCGTTCAGAAAAAGAATCCACTGAGCGCTCCCTTTTCCCCTTAACCTAAATTTTTAACAATACCCAAATATTAGACCAGAAAAACTCTAGCACAAAGTGGAAATTTTCAAACGGATCAAAAAAATCTTAAAATAGCCCACTAGATATATGTCTCCTTGGGTGATTCCTCCAACCTGAGTTGTACGTGTTCGAGTACGGATTGTTGGCGACGTAGCTGACATCCTCATGCACGTACTCGTCTCGTGGTGCGTCCAGATCAGTGATTTGATGGGCGTTTTCTACCTGCATTCTAAGTTTGGCAAGCTTTGCACGTAAAGCATGTATTTCAGATGGATTTTCCTTACCTGTACGGTTGTCTTTAAAGCCAATATTTCTGACGAATTCGTGGGAAGGAGCACACTCGTTAGCCATCTTAGTGATTTGTTGTTCGATGAAGTCAAAAGACTTCTCATTGAGGCTTCCTCCACAGGCAACTCGAATGAGGACTCGAGTATCTTCCTTTAGACCCTGCAAGAAAGTGGAGATAAGGTACCTCTTGTCCAAACCGTGATGAGGGCAGAGGCGTTGATAGCCAAGAAAACGATCCCAAGTCTCGCGCAAAGATTCATCAGGTTCCTGCATAAAAGAGTTGATCTGTTGCTTCGCGAGCTGGGTTTTGCTAGTAGGGAAGAATCGCTGCATGAACTTCTCTTGCATCTGATCCCAAGAGAAAATGGAATCTGGCGGCAGTGTGTAGAGCCATTCTAATGCAGTGTCCATTAGAGAGAATGGAAAAACCATCAGCATAAGTGACTCATCGGTGACTCCTTGAACCGTCTTCACAGACTGGCATAGCAGTTTGAATCGAGTCAGATGGGGGATTGGATCTTCATTAGGTCTGCCCCTAAATGCTGATGAGCTGAGCATACTGATGAATGCCGGCTGGAATTCAAATTTATTGCGATATCGGGCCGACGAATGCATGAGAGCTGTTGAGTGTACTTAGGCTGAAGATATGCCCCATAAGTGTTATTGTCATTCTCGACAGCTAAAGCACATTCCTCCATCTTCTTCTGTTGTTTCTTCTTCTTCCGAATGCGTTTGGCAGATTTCTCGATTTCTGGATCAAAAGGGACTAGGTTGTCAGGCCCATAACTCCTGGTCATACACCGGGAAACCTATACACCAGAAAAATAGGACAACGAACTAGAATAGATCAGGAACGAGATAAAAGTAACGAGAGAGGATCTAGATTCAAAGGAATCTCTATCCTAGCGCTAAACTATTCCCCGACAACGGCGCCAAAAACTTGATAACCAAATCTAGGCGTATAAATAAGCTCAAGTAATAAAAACCTAGATACAACGAATACCGCAAGGATACGGAATAACTGTAGTACCAGGGTCGAACACAGGGAATAGTTAACACTAAGAACAAGACTCGACTAAGAATTAGATCAGGAAATAACAGATGAAATATGTGAATAGCAAAAATAAATCAATAAACGAACTAAGTAAATTCAGATAACTAAACCACCGTAGCTCCGGGATAACCTTAACACGCACGGATTGTTTCTAAGGATGGAGAATCCACGAATATCAAACTCTAATCGGGGATCTCAAGTTCTAATATCAGATTTGGCTCTCTCAAGTCCTAAATCCACTATCCAATAATTTAACCTATCGATCTCTCAACCTAATAGATTAAAATATCAAATGCATTAACGATCATTATCACAGTTCCTAAACCGATTAACCTATCTCTCAATAGTCTTAATCAATTCATTTAATGAATTCGTTCCGAATCTAATTCCAACTCTCGTTGTCAATCAGAATCTAAAATCAATCAATCAACTGGCCAAGAAGATCAAAAGCAATAAACTCAATTCAATTAAACCGCCGAGTATCGATAACGTAGTCTTGAAAAATAAAAACCAAACAAATCCCTACAAGGTTAAAT